CTTTTTTTATTGTCTAATTCCTAAAAGTCTTACTAAAAAAAATGGAAATATATCATTTACTTGATGAGTGAAAATATATATAAACATTAGTGTTATGTATTTGCGAAACAAATTTTATTGTTATCACTAAACCCGTTAAAAGATCGATTAAAACTTAAATAAATATTTGGAAACTTGTGGCTAATTTCCCAAAAAGAGGAATGTTACAAAAAATACCATAAAAATTCCACCAGCCTGTTATAAACTTTATCTTCAGAAATCATGTATATCCAATTATATGTCTGCAATTGATTAGATAACTAAATAAACATTGATAATGCTAAATGCTAAAATGCATGAATGCAAATGATGCTAAAATGCAGAAATTGCTTGAAATAAAAGATGCAATTTTAAAAATAAAAGATAGGATAATTACCAAGTTAAAGGCTAAAGAGGCCCTCCTTTATAAAAATAGTGCTTTATTAGAAGAAAAATTACAAAATTTCTTTGGAGGAAAAAGCTATGCTGAGAAAACTGGCAACATTAAAGCAGCTGACATTTTGACATGTACAGAGAAGACCAAGCCACAGTAGTCAAACCATAACCCCAAAATTTTATCATAGAAAACAAACACAAATTTTACAAATGCGATATTTTTATTTCTCTATATTCTTTCATTTAGACAGCCTTCGACTCTGTTTGCTCTATTCACTTGATCTTCCACTTTGGTTTAGAGCTTTCCGTAGCTAGATAATGTGATGCCTAGATATTTAAACTCCATCACTTGTTCTATTATCTGACCCTCCTGCTCCAATTTACATCTTAGTAAATTTGCTGTTGTAACCATGCATTTTGTCTTTGTTGGGGAAATTAACATGTTAAATTTTCTGACCGTTATATTAAATTGGTGCAGCATATGTTGTAAATCATCTTCACCTTGAGAGAGTAGTATTGCCTCGTCTGCATAGCAGATTATTTTAAGTTGCTTTTATCCCATTTGGTATCATTTTTTAGTTCTTAATTTTTTTATTATTTCATCCATAATCAGGTTGAACAATAGAGGACTCAGGGAATCTCCGTCTTATCCCAGCTTCAATAGGGTCGGTTAGTTCTTCTTCTAGTTTTACTTTTATTGTGTTGTTTTGGTAGATATTTTCGATCGTTTTGATTATGCCTAGACGTATCTCTCTTGCATACAATAAGTGGATAACATTTTTTAATTTGACCCGGTCAAATGCCTTTGTAAGGTCCACGGAACATAGATATGTCGATTTGTTATATTCTAATGATTTTTCTTGCGCCTGCCTCATTATAAATATAGCGTCGGTGCATGATTTTTCCGACCTAGAATCTTGTTCTTCAAATGCAGAGTAGAGCAAAAAAAGACATCATCAGCTCAGTCTCCTGTGATATTGGTTCATGAAGTAAATGCGGCAGTTTTACAGGCTAAGCAGCATAATATCATGTATAACATTCAAAATTTGAAATAGAAAAATAATGAGGGAGAATGGGTGTCTGTGGGCTAAGTCTAAATTGTCATACTAGATTTGTGGCTGGATGTGGGTCTGAATCTACCAACATTCAGACGATTTCTAAATTAACATCTCTGTATGTTACAAGATTGGCTCCTAACACTAAACCCGAAGACTAAGAAACAGCCTTAGAGACAAATTTCCAGAAGTCACCTGAGAGCTTGTAAAGTCAAAACACCCAGACATTTATTCCTCAATGAGGGTCACTGTTAACCAATATAATTTCAGAAAGGTTTAGAATAGAGAAGTGTGGCCTAGTGATACAGTAGTTTCCCGATTTTGGTCCCAGAACTTTGAAAGAAAACCTGATGTCTTCAGCAGAATAACCATGTTCAGGTTAGCCATCAATTTCAACTGATGGATAGCATGTTGAAACAGTAACCATATATTTGATGGCCAAAGAATGTAAATTTTAATTTGATTCATGAAAAGACTGTTCAAATCCAAAAACTGAATGCTGTGTGGCTGTAGTTAATTGTGAAGTTGTTACTGAACAGCAAACATAAAGTGATTTCGTTTTATCGCGTTTTGATATATTTTTACTAAAACGATTTATTAAGTAAGTAAATAATATAAAATTTAAAATAAATACGATATACACAAGTATGAAGTTAAGTAATGTAAAAAATCTTTTGTTTAAATAAGTAAAAAATCATTCAAGTGATAAACCAGTAATATTTTTTAACTTTACCTTCCACTGAGCCATATATATTTCATGAGCACTGTAATTTGATGTAATAAAACAATAGAGTGGAACAGTTATATAAATTCAAATGACATCACAATGAAATATGAATATTAAACTATTTCTAAGTTAGGTATAACTGTTTTATCAGGGAATCTAGATCTTTGCAGGTGGTGGTTTATAATGGTAATATTGTTTTCCAGCTTTATAGGTGATGGTGATAAATGGTTGTAACCATCTTTAATCCTTAATCCCAACATTAAGATATATGCGCAAGACAATTTTTGAATCAAACTTTTCCAGTGCATTAGATTGACAAAAGGGGTCCAATAGAGTGGTCGGCCAGATCACTGGATCTTTCGCCTTTAGATTTTTTTTGTGGGGACACCTAACATCAAAAATATACGCCAATCCGCCTGTAGATCTTGCAGAGTTGAGATAAAGAATTGTGACAGAATGTCAATTATTCATACAGAAGTTATATGTAAATGTATTATTGTATGGAGGTCACAGGAGGTCATTTCGAACATTAAATTGGTTAATTTGACGAAATGTTTTTTGTTATTACTGATGTTCAACCAATAAATTAGCCAAAATTATCTTCAAAGTTATTTCGTAAATTAAAAAATGTATCGTGTAGATGAAAAAATACCTTTTGAATGACGTGCCACTTGACCACACTTGCTATTTAAAAAAACTAGGGGTTAATACGTGGCAGTAGGGGCCTACATTTGAGGGCATGAATTTTGCACGAAAATTTGTCCTCCTCCCAATACAAATTGAAGTGTTTTCTTTTTAATTTTGAAACAAAATTCTTGATTTCTGAGTTTTTGGGTGGGTGAAATTTTTGGAACACACTGTATATTATTATTAAATTTATGATAGGTACTTACTAATTCTTAAGCTAAGATGTTTAAACTAATTTTCGTATAAAAAGGTTTGTTAAAGTTTATATGTTTATGCTTTTTTGTATCATAAATAAATAATAAAATATTTTCATAAAATCTTTATGATTTTTTTGCGTTTCTTTATGCTTTTAAATCCGATCTGAATTCATAAATCATAATATTGTGCATTCCTTTTTGACATAGTAACATGTACTGCCAACGCACTGTTGCCAAAAATTTGCAGAACTTTCGAAAGATGGTGCGGATATTATTTCTCGAATTAATATTGATGATGCACTGATGTAGAGTCTTAAGTATTTGTCCTAATTATGTGTCCCCTGGATCTTTCATGTAAACTCCCAGAATGTAAAGGCTGTTCCCGTATTTTTTATTATTCTTATAATTCGTTTTCAAGGTCTTTTCACTTTATTCCAAAGTAACAAATAAAAACATATAAATAACATAATTTAGAGAGGCTATTATCAAAGATATGCTTACTAAATGTGATTGTGTAATGGCAGCTATTAGGGTACACAATTTAATCAAATGTCAAAAAAGAAACTGCTACAATCAATGTTAGAAGGATATTGCTACCAGGCATAGAAGAAAAACAGCACAAAAGGAGATTCCCTGTGTGTAGACAAAGTATTCTGCTTATAAATTCTGCAAAATATACAAACAGAGCAACTGCTGAGGTCCAAGGCATTTATTTTAGTATGGCATACTGAGTACCAAATTTGGCCTTCAATATTTGAATTTACCTTCTGGAGTGAGTACCCCAATATAGTAATCAAGTGACTCTTTGGTTATTCACAAAAAGAGAGGCTGGCAGTCAACCTGTTAAATGTAGATACACAATGCTCTCTATTTTCTGCTATTAAACGTACTTTAGCTAGAGTATTTCCAGTCCTGTACAATGGGATATATGATGATCCCCTAGAAAAGAAGCAAGTGACGCCATGTATTTCTTGATCATATTTTCTTCTATTAATTATTGGTTAATTTCGTATTAGGGATAGGATTGTGTACTTGTCTGGTTGGAGAATCTATTGCAACTGGCTGAATGTTGTATGCCATTAAAAGATCTTTAGATAAAAAAGACAGATAATTATTTATGCTTCTAGTGAGTAATATGACATCTTCTTTAAATATCAATACATATATATTGAAATATAAGAATAATATTTTTTTATGTTTTCAAAAAGTAATTGGTACATTTTTATATTGGTGAAAGATAGTTTTGGAAAATAAACACAACTTTAATTAATTATGCTTATCAAATAACTGGATATTTTTAAACTAGTGTTCTTTATATTAAAATATTGCATTTGTGTCTTTCTATTCTGTCAGCTAAAGAAGTTACTGAATACCCTTAATCATATACCAAAATATCCCATAAAAATCATGGCATTCAAAAAAATCACTTGAGCAGTAAAATTTTTAAATGTTGATAAGGCAATGATATTTACTGGAAAAGATACATGACCCTCAATAAACAAAACTCTTAAAATGTTAAGTAACAGACTACAAACAATATAGAATAGAGACACTGATATCAAACTTTGATAAAGGCAAGTGGGAAAAAAAGACATGAGAGAATGGTGAAGTCAAAGTTAGTAACGCCAAACCAATGAAATAAGTACAGATATGCAAAATAAGTACACATAAAAACAGGTTAACATGAATAGCAATTAAGAAAAAAAATCTTACAACTCTAATCCTATGGAAAATAGATAGAAATGTCTCCTTAGTTAATTATCCAGAAAATCTATTTTAGAAGCAAAAAATTAAAGTATGTATAGCAAACAACAGATGCAAACGTATATTATTATAATAAGTTTATCTGAAAACACTTATATAAAGCAATATGTTTACATTTGTGATGTGATAAATTGAAATAAAGTTGAGATAACTCACCATGTTGTAATTTTGAAATCCTAGCAGCTACAGCATATCTTCCAGCTGTGACAAGGCTGCGTCTAACACTGCCCATTTCTAAAATTTTCAAAGATTTTCTTTTGGTTCACTTCTTTTTTGTTAACTCTACCAATAACACGAAATCATCAAAATATTTTGGATTAGCATTTATAAAAATACCACAAGTCAACTTGAATGACAGGACGTAATTTGTAGATAAAAGACAAATTTTACAAAAATTTCAAAGTATCCTTAAGCACTAACGACTGTAGAGTTTTAATTGAAAACGTAAATGAAATGATTTAAAATTTAAACTGGAAAAAGTCACTGAAATTCTGATGACTGTCAAACAAGTCAAACAGCCATAACAACCCGAACGAAACCACTTTCCTCCGACAGCACCACAGACTATCTGCTGCTGACGTATAACCTTGGCAACCTTGTTGGATATTTTATTGGTTTGTTTTTATTTGCGCAATTGCCAAAAATATTCAAGTCTGGTTTACAAATATGAATTATTTACATTAGACATCAGTAAAAAACAGGAATTTGCAAACAAAGAATATTTTTGAGCTTTTATAGAAACGTATTTTTAGCAGCTTGTCTGCTCATACTTTATTTCAATAACTGGTATAATGTTAAAATAGATTAGCATAGTTGCCGTCTTAAGTCAAATATTAAAAATATAATTTATATAGGTACTTGTTCTAAATCATATTAAAAATAATTAAGAACATAAAGAACTAATTCGGGTCCCATATTCCTTACAAATATAAAAAATATATCTAACTCTAACTTATAGGAATATTAAGTAAATTAATTATTGACATAAAATTCTTTTTGGTTCAAATTAAAAATATTTGGTTGGCTAAAAAATATTGTTGTCAATTATAATATGGAAGTTTGTATATTTTTGAATATTTATTTAAATAATTTAAAACTATAATTAACTTGAAGTAATAAAGATCGAATAGTTAGTTTAATTAATAACACCAACTAGTTCTATTTGGAGCATATCTAGTTTCTTTAATAATTTAACCACTGTTTTTAACCACCTTAAATTTTGGATAAATAGGTACATAATAAGGACTGGAAGGGCGGAGGGGATGTATTTTTTTCATCCAGCATTTTTGCTCGATGATTTTTTTTATTTTAAGAACATGGAATGGAAGGGTTCGTGAACTAAGAGTGAAAAAACAATTTGCCAAATATTATTTCATTGCTATTTAAAACAGTATAATAGACGTAATATACAAAATAATGAATATTTTATTTATCAAACTTCCGATAAGGAGCTGTAAATCTCAAATAATAGTTAAAAAAAAAGAAGACATTTTTCTTGACTCTAGCGTTACTAACTTCGCGTTTCTTCACTTGTCAAGGGGGACACGGGACGGGCCTAAAATTCTAATAATATTTAAAATAAATTAAAATGGCAAATATTTTGAGGAAAATTGTGAGTATTTATTAATATAAATGAACGTTTTTGTTTTTTGGTAATAATAGCAGTAAATTAAGTTTGCCTTTATTAAAAAAATCTATCTGCATGTGATTTTTGGTACCCCTTCACCATGAGACTTTTTACAAATTTATCTAACATTAAAACCGAAACCTCGATATGGACAAAACTAATAAACTATTTTAATAGAACTCCGTCAAATCGGCAGCCAAATGAAATTGATTTAGTAAGTGATTATATAACCAAATTGGTAGAAAAAACATTTCAAGAAGCCCTAATGTCTCAGTATACTGAAACTTGTTTTTATTTTAGAGTACATCACAAGCTTTGGGTAGCAGATTATTTAGTAGTGAAGTTAAAAAATGTACACTTATACCTGGAGATGGCATAGGTCCTGAAATTTCAGCTGCTGTGCAGAAAATCTTCCAAGCTGCCAGTGTGCCTATTGAATGGGAAAGTGTAGACGTGACACCAGTTAGGGTAAGTAATATATTTTTAATATTCATAGACATCATTCAGTACCCACAGCCAGTCTTCCGAGAATCCAAGCAGTCCAAAAAACGTTTAATATATTTTTAATATTTATAGACATCATTCAGTATCTACAGTCAGTCTTCAGAGAATCCAAGCAGTACATAGAACACTTTAAAAATACATTTTTTGAATACATAGATAGATGGATAAAACAGAATAGTTGTATGAGTTAAAAAACAACTAATAATATTAAATTATAATAAGATAAGTTAAATTAATTCAAAATAAAGATAATATAAACATTTCTTATTTCCAAGAAAATATATTTCAAAGGATTACTTAATTAAAGAAACTGACAGATTTGTAGTCATTACTCGTGATTAACACTTTGAGATTGCCACTTCTCTCATACATAGATAAACTTAACATTTTTGTACACATGTTAGTTATTTGAGCCACCACGCCTACATTCCTCTGTTTAGTTTCACTTTTTCACACTTTTCATAATTTTTATATAACATGCCATATCTTTATGAGTGCTTGTATCCCTGAAAATGAAAATTACTCTCAAAGTGTGAACTTTACTGCAAAGGTAAAGTTGAACACTTGAACACTTGTGACATAGGGATTCTTCTAGGAGGGTTGTTCTGCTGTGATCTTGCTAGATGTCCTGCCCATCCTAGTCTTAGTATTCTTATAAGAGATACCTCACCTATTATCCTCATTCCTCTTTAATCTGTATTCTGAAAAAATCTTCACAAAAGCTCTGAAATATACTAATGCTAGGATCAGATTCAACAGCAAAACAATTAATAATCTAAGACATACCAACAATACAGTGAACTCTTCCAAATTACAGATGCAATTGTCAAATGCAGTGAATGTTATGTCCTACTTATACATGAATACTATCAAGACTAATCTTATGGTTTTCTCAATATTACCAACATAAGCTTTCTTCCCAGCAGCATTGTTGAACAAGTGTCATCATTCAGATACCTGAGAGCACTAGTGAATAGTAGTTGCAATTCGTCAAAACAAATCCTATCAAGAGTAGAGCAGACTAGAAAGGCATTTATTATTCAGATTAATGAGTAGTAGTTGCAATTCGTCAAAAGAACTCCTATCAAGAAGAGAGCAGACTAGAAAGGCATTTATTAAAACATACATACAAACAATACATATTTCTTATGCATATTAAAAAAATATTGTAGGGTAATTTGGGCCAAAAGTAGCCTTTTTTTAATCCAAAACTAGTTTGTTTATAACAATTAGGAAATCTAATTAGAGTCATTTGATAGACAAGAGGTTACATAAAATAATCCTAGTGGTAATTTGGGTCAAAGTTAGCTTTTTTTTTAATTCACAACTAGTTTGTTTATACAATTGAGAAACCTAATTAGAGGTGTTTGATAGATAAGATGTTTACATTTTCATGTGTAGAGTTTGAAAAATATGAATAAATGTTTCATTAGCAAATATTAAAATATGTTACTCAAATTAGGATGGCTAAAGTGAGTTAAAGGAATCTTTCAATTAGTATGATCAAATAATTCAAGAGTGACTTCAAAACTTCCATTACAACCAAATTTCAAGAACTGGTTGATGGATTTTGATGTACTTACCTTTTTTATTTTTACATAGTCTTAGCAGATATTAAGAATATTTCAACCATACATTTCGATCCAATGTCATATGGTAAAATATTACATCCATTCGATTCTTCTTTATGGTGCTGAAGCTTGGATTGTTAATATTGACATGATGAGAAAGCTGAGGAAGCTTTTGAGATGTGAAGGTCTTTCATTTCAAAACAATTTTTACTTACTTCTGTTGGTTGTTGCCACTCAGGGCATAAAGTCCTCTTTTTCGAGCTGGGAAATTGCATGTTCCCTTAAAAAATGTAATTGCTTATTATCAACCTAGTGTAAATTTTAATGTTTGTTACTCTATGTAATTTAAGGGTCATCTGACCTCATTATGTGGCTAGTTTTAACTACTTTATAGACGTAAGTATTAACCATCTTTTCAATTTAACAGTCAAACTTTTAGCCTTTTGTTTTCATTATTTGTAGGTTTTTCAGTGATAATAATTTGACAGGATCTAAAATGTTCTAAAAATTTATATATCTATTTTGGATAATTTTAAAACTTTAATAAAAATGTTATACCATTTTACAAAGGAAGTTTTGACTTCCATCCTTCTCTGTCCTTGGTTAGTTGTTCGGCTTCCTGTAACCCTTGGTTAATCAATATTTTTATTTGATCTACTTAACGGCTTGGATATCTTCCCCTAGGTCTCTTTCCTTAAACTCTACCCTCGACTATCAGTTTTTCCATCGTGCCTGTTCTTCTAGCAATGTGTCCAAAATACTGCAAATATCTCTGTTGTATTTGTTTAAGCAAATAGTTTTCTGGGGTGGAAGTGGTAATGATGAACAGGTTTTTATATTACAAAAAAGAGCAATCAGAACTCTACTTAACTTGAAATACAGGGATTCATGTAGAGGTAATTTCAAAAAGCTAAACATACTGACAATGGCTGGAACATAGATATATTAATAGATTACTTTTCATTTTTAAAAATAGACATAAATTCTTGAAACACATGTCAAACCATAATATTAATACATGAAACAATCTCATAAACTATAATATACCAATACATAGACTAACAGCATCTGAGAAAATCACAGAATATGCCTGTATTAAATTCTTTAATAAACTGTCTTACAGCATAAAAATAGAAACTGGCATAAATAAATATAGAAAGTCTGTTCAACAGTTGCTCATACACCATGAACCATACAAAGTGGAAGAATACCTTTAAGCTGACCTACGGGAGACTGAGGGCTCTTATCTGAATCTAAATGTCACTGTTATTATTATTATATTTTAATATTACTTTTATGTTAAGTGTAGGTTGTTGCAGCAACCATTATAAATTGTAATTGACATCATTCTCTCTATTGACAATTTATATTTGTGTGTAACTTGTGAAAACTGAGAATAAAGCTTTTTTCTATTCTATTCTAAGTGCAGAATTGAAGCAGCTCATACAATGTTTCCAAAAATGAAATCATTCTTCTGTGACCACACCTAAAATTAGGCCAAAGAATGATCAAATGCTAAATTTGGTCAATTTGATCAATTGTCTAGAGGTGTTGGAGATGTTATTGCATAGAAGAATGTTTCAAATAGTCTGGACAAAGATTAGTGGTGCAGACCAACGAAGCTGTGTTAAAAAAAGCCGCTCGTGAGTTGTAAAAACTATTAAAATAAGAATGATTTAATACCTAGGACATGTTCTTATACGTTCTTATAGTAGACCGGTACAGAATTCTTCAACTTATCATGAAACGTAACATAAAGAACCGCAGAGGATCTGGAAGGAAGCAGAAGCTTGAAAAATTGTAAGATTAGCAGTAAAGGTTTTTTATTACAAGTTAGAAATCTCTTGTTTTATTTATTATTACTGCAAATGTAATTAAAACAATAACAAAGTTATTTTAGACTTTGTGGTACTGTTCGCAACATAATCATTAATTTTAGGTAAAAATGGTCACTTGGGTGTCATGTGTAGTTTAGTAAGGAGGAGAGGTTTTGTAAAACGTTACGGTGCGTTACATGGGGGATGTCAAAAATCTTGAAAAATACATAATATTTGTACGTCCCATATGGAAACAGATGTAGGAGGTATATGTCCAAAGATGGACTGAGAAAAACACTATATGACACAAGAGAAATAAGGACAAAAAGGGGATTAGAAAGATACATAAGCAAAGGCACACATGGCTTTTGAGTGAAGAGGGGGAGAATGTGGGTGAAGCAGATCTTAATATTGGTTTTTTTTCCTACAAATGAAAGTTTTTTTTACATTGTTTTAAGTTGTTTTCTGTATTCTTCCAGTTTTGTAATCTGCTAATCGAAAAATACAAAAAAAAAATAAAGAAAATAAAAATAATAACCTTCAAAAGCATTCTTATTAATATTCACTAATATCGCAATTAATAGGAAAACATTAAATTATCACCAACATTTGTTGAAAAAAAAAACCTTGAAATTGGCCTCTGATGTTTAAAATTAAAAAATTCTTATCAATTCCACATGTTTATATTTTAATTTTAAAAGGTTAATGATCAATGTTTATGTATACGCAACTGCTATTAAATAAAAACAATAATAATTTCTATGCATCTTAGAATATTTTATTGGTTGCATACATTCGTATGATGGATGTATAGTGGTTCATTAATGCACATATCAACTTTATTATTTAAGAGATGTTGAATAAAGATATGATTTATAAAAAAATCTTTGCTGACATAAAATGTTTATTTAGTTATGTCTAGAAATTTATTTCTATCTTGAATAATTTTAATATTAATTTCTTATTATTAATAAAACATTTAACGAATATTAAGTTGAATATACAGTTAATTGAATTTGATATGGGCTATGGGTGTACCAATATAGCAAACTATGAAATGTACTTTGAGGCACCAAGACAACAAAAAGTAGAACTATGAAGGGTATGGATTGGAGCAATGTGATAAAAATATGTAACACAAAATAGGATTATAGAAATGTAAAATTGGAGATTGGGTAGAAAGCTTTGTAGGAGAATGACCAATTAGCACTCAAGGGAGGATTCAGATAAATTTACATGCCCTTCAGGGACAGTTAAATGAGAATAAATGTGGAAAGTAGGTAAAAATGTATAAATTGATCAGAATATGAATAATGAAGTCAGGAAGTTGCTAAAATGAATGTGTGGGTGCCAGGAAAGTATCAACAGATACTTCCAAAAATATATTATACTGATAGGGTTGTTCAATTGCTGAAAGCAAAAAAAGGTACTAATAAAACATCTAGTATGTACAACCTAATTTAATCCCTACATAACTTTAATAATATTTACAGATACAAAGTAAAATTAGTCTATATTACTCTTCACCTATATGTACGGTTAAAATACACTCACTGGCAAAATTATGTACGGTTAA